ACCTCATCTAATTCATCTACCCATGTTCTACCCAACATATTTGTAGATATAAAATACATGTACAGATTAACTCATTTAACACCTATATAAAACATCCATTCCACACTCATCTCAAATAAACAACAATATATAAACACATAGCACGTATTTCATAGCAAATACTTAATATACATATGTTAGAAGAAAGTGATCACATACTCACCCAAAACATGTACTTAATACATTCACACAATACTTGTATTAAAATCGTGTTATGAAAGGGATTATACACTCACTTGATCAGAAGATGATCGAAAAACACTACGGCTCTAAGAGTAGTATTCTTCGGTGAAACCGGGATCACTTCACACACCAGGTTTCTTGTGGACAGAGCTTCGGCTTGGAAACTGTTTTCTTCTTGGGATCTTCGGGCTTCGGGATTTGCTTCGGGTCTCAGGATTGATACCAGGGCTTCGGGGGTATTTCTTTGCACGTAAATCGATGCAATACAGGTGAGAGATGAGAGAATGAGCAACCAAACTCGGCTGGCCCTTTAAATCTATTTATAGGGAAAAATTTGCCCTTGCCACGTCGTGGCACCATTTTCCATGTCGTGGGCTTGGTCGTCACTGCATGCTTCATTGTCCACTTGCTCTGTCAGGCTCCAGAATGCGTCAGAAGTCATGCCACGTCGTGGTCTCTAACACAGCTTTGGGGTTCGCGCCTCGAACTTCAGAAATTCATAACTTTCGCATACGGACTCCGTTTTCGACGTTCTTTATATTGACGCGTAGGTAAAAACAAGATCTACAACATTCATTTAGACTCTGTTGGATAATTTTGACTTTATTTTTATTATATTATTTTTAGTAGGTCGGGACAGGAAAACTCCATTATAAACTCATAACTCCTTCGTCTGACTTCCGTTTTGGTCTGTCTTTCTGTCATTGCACTATTATCGATGAGATATTCAATTCTCATTTAGATTGTTTTGGCTAAATATCGCTCTAACGTAAATTCACTATTTACGTCGCGCTGTGTCGTGCAAGTTATTTCGTGAAACTTCGATAGCTCATAACTTCTTTGTTATAACTCGGATTTCGGCGTTCTTTATATGTATGGAATCCTTGTAACATATACTATAACTTAGTTAAGATTAATCCTTCTAAATAATCTTCCATCAAAAAGTCATTTTTGATGCTTATCATCTCTAAATTGACTAGCTCGGATCTACGGGCGTTACACTATAACTTGGAAAAGTTCAAAGAAGGAAACGGTGGCTGAGTCTACCTGTGAATCAAAGTACATGGAAGAAAACGAATCATCAAAGGATGCTATATGGTTGAAGAACTTCATTGGAGACCTTGGAGTTGTGTCATCCATAAAGAAGCCAATGGAGATTTTCTGTGATAATGAAGGAGCGGTTGCCTTGACAAAGGAACCAAGAGATCATGGTAGATCAAGACATATCGAAAGAAAATATCATTTTATCAGACGTAGAGTAGAAGGAAACCTCACCATGAAGAGGGTATCATCTGAATATAATCTCGCAAATCCCTACATAAAGGGTCTGAACAGGATTAAGCACGTTCAACATGTAAAGAGTATTAGTCTGAAGGATGATATTAGTTTTAGTGGTTAGATAGATATTTGGAAACTTTTAACAAATAAATGTAAGTGACATTTGATGATTAAATAATGGAGATTTGCTTATGAGTAGCGTTTACTGTCTTTTGTTAATTGTTTATCATTGTATTTCACTTTGCATGTTTTACTTCCCGAATAATTAGATTATTCAAATATCCAAAGTCAATCATACCTTGGCAATAAGTAGTGAATTAACACTGGCATGAATTAGACTGTAGATTGTCTAAGGGTTTAGACATAACAATGGTTTGCTGCAGTATTCATGAGTACTTTTGAAATGGAGAATTATTGGATCAACCCACGCTCAGAGAATTACTTTATGAAATTGATCACGAGTAATTTAGAGACGATAATATCGTATAATCTTTAAAAGGAGATATATGAGTTGTTGTTTACAAGTTGGTTGTGCATTGATAATGCGTAAATACACTAGTAAGTTGATGCTATAAAACATATTATTGTGAATGATTTGATGAGTAAATAGTGCAAACATATAGGTCAGAGTTTATCTGTTTAGTTTGCCTTTACGTGAAAAACGATATTTTGGGCCCCTCGATGATTTGGTGTTGACTTATGTGTCAGGCCCAATCAAGACTGAATGTGTTCAACTGTAGTTCTTTGTCATTACAAATCAGAAATCGGGATACAAACTGTTAGATAATGATAATTATTTTGTTCCATGTCATTTTTCTACATGATATCTTGCAGAACAAAGGATTATATGATCACTTATCTTATGACACGTAACTGACTAGGTTATAGTTCGATAACGACTTTGAGAGCTACAATTTGCTAGTCAATTTTGAAGTTATACTTGCAACTATAGTTTTTAGACTTATCCAAGTAGGAGACTGTTGGATTAGGTATCTAAGCCCATAACTATACTTGGTATGTACTAGAAATGATAGTAGTACATTCCTTTTGGGTTACCTTCATACTAGTAGCTAGACCGGATGATCTATTGAGAAAGAGGAATAAAGTGTAATAAATGATTTATTAATTTATTATGGAAATAATATATTAATTAGAAATCATATTATTTAATTAATATTTGGGCTCTTGGACCACCCTAGAAGGGTTGGACGAAAAACTTCTAGGGAGGCCCTAGAATTTTTGTCTAAAGCCTAGGATGGATAGCCCATGGGCTTCTTAGGCCTTAAGATAAGGAATTAGGGTTTCCTCCAGCAAACCCTAGCTTTGGATCTAAGTTACCTCAGCTGTATAAGGAGCTACAATCCTCTAGATTTAAACCACTCCAACCCTAAGAAGAATAGCCGAAATTTGAAGCTTCCTCCTCCTCTCTCATACATCATCCTCTTGTTAAGTGTGTTTGTAAGTCATTAGAGGTGTTACACTGGTTCTCAAGCTTCTACGACAAGGAATTGTGTGTTATTACTACATAACATTCAAAGGTTAGTTTACTATCTCTTGTTGTGAATTTCGAAAATACTAGATGCCTCCTAGGGTTTTTTCTTTTGTGTTCAATACTTGTATCTTCAATTAGAGAAAACAGAGATCCAAGAATTAGGGTTACATGTACACATATGGATTGTTTGTTATGCTCAAAACCCATCATAACATTCGTAGTCTATAATGTCCAAGAAGTATTCCACACTAATCAAAAGATGTCGGAGCCCACTCAACTCTAATATCACCTATAAAATGGACCCAAAGTGCAAAAAAAAAAACACAAATTAATAGATCTCAAGAACTAAAGAGCAAGATAAGAACTTTATACTAACAATAGTTCATTAAAACATAAGAAAAAGCATCCAAAATAGGAGAGAGGAGGGAGAAGGAGCTCAAATCTTGAAGATAGAGGCTAGGGTTTCTCCTAAAGAGTTATAGATGTGATGGAGGCTACGAAAATACCCTAAAACAGTAATTCTTTCCTTTAAATACCTTGAAACCCCTAAAATTCATGGGCTTAGGCTGACCTAGTTGCCACCTTGTTGTAGCTCCTACCCCGTGGCGACAATTTTCACCCAAATTCATTCAAACTTCAAACAATCATAACTTTTTTGTTTCAACTTTGTTTTCAACAATATTTATGTTCACGTAAAGGTATTCACAATCCCCACATTTCTATATAATTACTTTTGACTTAAATCATACCAAGCTAAATTCCTTATTTCATGCAAGAAGTTCGAAACATTATTTTTCACATTTTACCCTTTGACTCTAAAACAAAAAACAAGGGCTTAGATTACATACCAAATATTATCAAGATACAATAAAGTCTAAACCTCATTTCATTGAAACCCAAGGACTTCACATTATTGAATTACAATAAAAAATCCTGAAATAACAAACATCATGAAACTGGATGTTACAGAAGTAATGACTAGTATTAAGAACCGTTTATACATCAAAAGTCAACAATAAATGATAAAAGTCAACCTTAGATGACCACCAAGTCATGGCCAACCATAGGTTACACTGTGGCAGCTCCATGTCAAACCAATTGTGGTGAGGATTTCAATCCTGGAAATCAAATAAAATATTTGTTTGTTTAGGAAATCAAAATAAACATATGCGGATCTAATTTCTTGAAGGTTATAAAGAAAGGGTTATGATTTTTTTTAAAGATTTCAAACCTAGAAAGACAAAGAAAAGGTTTTGATTCTTGAAGACTTCAACCTAGGAAAATCAAACAACGCACTTGCAGATGTTGGTTAGATAGACAAAAAAAGAGAGAGATGAGAAAGGAAAAAGGTCTTGTTTTTTTGCTAGACCCTTTTAGATTATTGATATTTGAGAGAGAGAGAGAGAGAGAGAGAGAGAGAGATATGATATTTTTCGAAAAAAGAAAGTTAAATATGAAGATATCAACATTTATGATTTCTCTGTAGATTGTTGGATTGTTGAAATTTAAATGATGTGGATCATATCATATAGTGATTCTTAATTACTCCTCAGATTGATTTATTTATGTTAGAAGTGACACTAGGGTGATATGAGCATCAGGGGAGACATGGAAAATAGAGGCAACATGTGCAATAAGGACGATTTAGACGATAAGGGAGATACCTATAAGGGTGACATGAGCAATTTTAGTGACCTTCGACGTGTCCAATTGGTGTCGCCCCTAGCTAATGTGCATATCGCCCCTATTGGCGTTGCCCTTATTGCCTTATTTTGTACTGTTTTATGAAGATCCATTAGTAATTCGATGTGACGACATTTCTATACGACTAGAAAACAATAATTTTAATATCATATTAGTTATGATATTAATACAGATAACATTCATTAAAGGATAAATTCTCTGTACATTAAAAAACAAATAACACTACAATATTACATTACAATATTACATGATACATGAGGAAATTTATGACATAAAATAACAATGTAATAAATTAATAAAAAAACCTTGATATTCAATGACACGTAAAATTAAAAAAAAAAAAAATCGAATGGTAGTGTATATAAGATTAAACTAGCCTATGACTAGACCCAAACAACAGTAAGCATGTACAACATTAGTAGTGATATAGGGTACATTAGATAGATCACGTAACCAGTCCAAAGTGGGTAAACTTTTCTTGTACTTGTCAAAACTGACATCCCTACACAAATTATCATCACAACCAAAAGCTGAGCTGATACATCCCATGAAAGATCTTTTATGTACACAATTAATAAGAATGTCGTCAAACTACTCATACTACTCATGGCGACTCCTGAATAGATCTGCATAAAAAACAACAAAATAAACAAGGTCAAACCAAATTCCTTTCAATATTTAGACATCTATATTGGTGTATGAAGATACATAAACATAAACACTAACAAAAAAATTACTTGAGAAAACGTTAAAGATGAGGCTCGTTCAGTCTTTTGGGTTGCAGAGCGAATCGTTGATAAGATACGTGATATGTTTGTGGCACATGGTACTACACAATATGGGATGAGAAAGGAAGGGACATTCGCATGATTAGCAAAAGTCATAACATTCGATATAAGTGGTGATGAAACAAGACCCGACAAAACAGTCCCAAAGAGTATTAGACTCAAAGCCTGTAAAAACTCCAATATCGAAGTTTCAGCCCTAGAGATTATTTCCTTAGGTAGCAAAGCCTTTTGATGTTCTTCATCAGCATCCTATATAAACAAACATTTAAGAATTAGGTCACTTTTTTTAAAACCATTTTTTTAAGTCAAAAGGGCCATGCAAGTTGCAACAATATATTATATATGCTAAAAAAGAAAGCAAAAGATTCTTTTAGATTTCCTGAAATAGAAAGTTACCTCACTAGGTTCGGTTGCGAAGAAGCTAAGAGGGTTATAATCGTTTTGAGAGACCGATTTCCTTGCTTCCCGGAGCCATTTGATTAGAATTCTAACAAACTCATTTTCTTCAATAGATTGGTCGCCAGAGATATCAAACCGATCCATAATAATTTCTACAAGATCATCTTTTGTTGCATCGTTTGTTTGCAATTTTATTCCTAGAAGGAAAGTTTTCAATTCAACCTTCGATACTTTCCCATCTTGATTTTCATCAAGTCCCTTATAAATCCTGCACATCGATCAATAATTTTTAAATCGTGATCATATTTTTCTATATAGTTCCAGAAATCAAGGAGAATTTTGAGAAGGAAATGTACTAACTCTCTAATAAGCCGCACGTTTGGCTTCCCGTTTGTAGAGAGTAACGTCTGTAATTTGTCCTTGACAAATTTTTGTGTCACATACTCGGATCTCCTGTTCTCTATCCATGGTTGGAACATCTACACGTAAATTAAAAGGAATTATTCTCACTGAAATATATATAACCTAGCAAGGTTAATTGAGATTTTCGATGGTTTGAAATATTAAAGGCTAACCTGATACGTAATGTAAGTAATGTACATAGACAACACAAGGAGGAGAGTGAGTAGAATTATCACTCGGGTTATTGATGTCGAATTGATGATTGTTGGGAGTTGGAGAAGGATAAAAGGGATTGCTGACACAAGCATGATTCTTGCTGTGTAGCTTGTTTCATTATCAGTTGTAACTCCATATGCTAAAAAAAATTTAAAAAAAGAAGACATAAGTCACCAAAAACAAGTTAATATGTATCTTAACGTGTAAAAGACTAGTATACGCACCTGTCAATTTTTTGAAGAATGATGGTTCGTCTTCTTCTGATGAGATGGAATCGTCATCATCATCTGAAAGATCATAACTTCCGAAAGTGATGACTGATGGCCAAATTATCGTTAGACTCATGACCATCGATCCTGTTAGCGTGTTCATGCTAGAAGTAGTTGCTGAAGCACCTCCGTCTTCACTTGATAACGTTGACTCTGCAAATCAATTAACACATTTCTTTAAATATTTCGATATATGTTCTTATTATGCGGTTTTCATTGCTCCATGTGTAAGGGTTGCATTTGCATGACGAATGAGTACTAAAACTTTGTCATATATTTTTATTAGTATCTTAGTAAAATTATATAGGTTTTTAAGATAATATACACAAGACATAATTAATTTAACAACTAAATTGTATTCATAGTTATGTACGTCTTATATAGCTAAATGTTTATAAAAAAAAACAAATTACGATTAAAACATCAATAACAATCCTATACTATTTTCGTTTGCATGAGTACGTATTTCTTAAAAATGACATGATTCTTCAAATTTGAAGATATTCTAAATGTTTCAACGATGGATACCACATGTTCAAGTTAGAATGTGTTACGTTTGAGATGTTATATAAAAATTAACTTGAGAAAGAAAAATAATGTTTCAACTCAAAATGTTAAAACTTAAAAGATATTACCATTACCTACAGATAGAATAGTAACAATAATAATAATAATAATAATTTTTCGCATAAAGAAAGATAAAATAAAAATCTGGGAAAAAGAAGCCTACGAAGGACGAGGAAAAGGGTAGGGAAGTTTGCAAGAATATGAAACAAACTTGCACCAAATATACCCGGCCCGATAAGACCAAAGAACTTATCGGATCCTTCAGAAACATACTTCTGACCAAGAGCCATCAAGTATTGATAAACCATATATAGGAAAAGTGCTCCCCATGTTTCGTTTGTGCATGGTAAGAACCCATATTTAGGTTCGCATGTCACTGTTGCACCCTCTATATTTCCAAAAAACTCCATCAAAGCCACCACGAAAATAATTAAACTCCCATTTTTCACGTATATTTTCATCTTTCTTCTTGGATTTATAAGTGAATATCTGATTAGAAATAGTGTTTGCAATTAGCTAATTAATTTGGATTGAGAAAGCAAAGTGGTGAAGGATTCAAGGGTGTTAAAGAAAAAACTCATGAAATTGAACAGGATATATAGGTGAAAGTATTTGATGAGCTTTTAGAATGATTCTATGTATTTATAGACATATATGGTGTTGCTTGTCTCAATATAACAATGGTTGACGTATGATTTGTGATTAATTGATTAAAATATTGTAACGAATATTTAAACCTATTAATTAAGTTGACGTATGATTTGTATTTATAGACATATATAGGTGTTGCTTGTCTCAATATAACCGTTTATTACCTTAAGAGCACATTTAAGTTTTTGTACGTGTGGTTTGTCATATTCGTATTTTAAATCTTTGAAAATTTTACAAGTTGTGGTTTAAAGAAATTGAAATGTATATCCTTAGTCAATTTAAAAACTTTTATATTTTAGTTTTTAATATATATATATATATATATATATATATATATATATATATATATATATATATATATATATATATATATATATATATATTATATTTATTAGCTTACATTTTACTTTATTTATATATATTTTTTATTATTTAGGTTTTATTTGACATTTTTTCGATTATATTTTTAATGTTTTTTACATTTTGTTCGTTATATTTTTTTTTTATGTTTTTTTGAATATATATATTTTTTTTAGTTTTTTGATGTGTTTGAATACATTTTTTTTGACATTTTGTTTTTTTTTTTTTTATATATTTTTCAAAATACTTTTTGTAAATAATGTTAAATAGTTCATTAAATGTGAATATTATTAACATAGGTTAGGTATACAATTATTTTTTAATAGGATTAATAGATAGAGTAACCGAAATTCGAAAACGAATTTTAGGTTATATAATAGCTAATTTGAAACAATATAGCTCGAAAAAGAACAAAATTCTAAAAGTAAAAAAATGAACTCAAAAATATTGATACATGTGTTTAGGTTATAGGAATTATGGTTATCATTCTTCATTCGCAAAAGAATATAAAAAAACAAATTTTCAAACTTAAAAAATTGAACTCGAAGCCATTGACACTAGTTTCGAATTCATTTTTTTATTTTTAGATATTTTGTTTGTTTTCAAGTTATATTGTTTTCAATTAGCTATTATATAACTTTAAAACCGTTTTCGAATTTCGTTAATCATATCTATTAATCCTATTAAAAAAATAAATTTATAGCTAATCTATGTTAATAGTATTCACATTTAACGAACTGTTTTACAAATATATAAACAAACAATACGTCAAAAATAATGTTTCCAAACAACACGTCAAAAAACTAGAAAAAATTATTCAAAAAAACATCAAAAAATATAAACAAACAAAATGTAAAAAACATTAAGCAATATATTCGACAAAATATCAAAAACAAATCTAAATATTATATATATATATATATATATATATATATATATATATATATATATACACACACTTAAGTTATTTCGTTTTTACTAACTATTATGTACCAAAATACACAAATCTGGATCACATATGGAATAGAATCAATGATCATGATATAAGAGTCTATAATATTACGATAGGGTAACATATACTATATAATCATACAAATTTCAGTATAAATGTATTTTGAACAATTAACTATATTAAAAAAAGGAAATTTTTAGATTTTTAGGATAATTAATACTCCTAATTTTAAAAATCTGGATTTTTTTAAATAAATTCGATTTAGTTGTACACATAATTTGTAAGCATAACCGATTTTATTCTGTCAGAATGTTTTTTTTTTTTTTGTTTTGTTAGAATGATGTTATTTCAGAGTTATATTCTATTAGAATATTAATGAAGAATAACAGATTTCTTGAACTCCTATTTGAAGAATAACAACATTTTAATATTTTTATATACATTCGAACTTAAATATAAATTTATACATATTTTTACATACTAATAGCTTTATACATTTTAATATATTTATACATATTCTAAAAGAATAGCATAAAAAATTAGCATTCTTAAATATACAATTAATGAATAAGAACATTCTCGCATAATATATAGAATAAAATATGCTAGTTATAACTTTACATGCCACTATAATTAATTAAAAGCATATGATTTGCCATTTGCAATCGTATTTCTATATATATAAACATTCTAAAGCATAGAATGTATAAATGCATTCTGTCAGAATTACTAATATGTTACTTGCAATTCTTAACACTTTATATATTTTGGAAGAATACATAGAATATGATAGAATACATAGAATACATTATGATAGAATATATAGAATTTGCTACTAAATCAAAATTATAAAATTGTTGGAATAGCGGAACATGTTAAGTTTAATATTTTTCAAATATTAGACGGTTAGATTTTGATATTTTCCACATATTGCTTATTTAATCAGGTTATTACAGATGCTTTTGAGAAGTGTTTCCTCATTCATACAATGTTTAAGTTCTAAACTGTCTTAGATTTGTGAAAATCTCTTATAAACCGTTAATCAAATCATCACCGTAAATTGATTAAAAAAATCAATTCCAATAACAAAGATTGATGTCACTCATGTAATTAACAAATAAGGAGTCAATAACAACAAAAAAAACATATCAAAAGGTTTAATGAAAGAGATAAAAGAAATACTCTTTCAGGCAATTAATAAATAAGCATACCACATGTTAGAACAAAGAAACACAAATAACCAAGTTAGAATTATTTTTGTGTTCTTCAAGAATTTGGAAATCAAATTCTCGTGAGGCATTTCTACAAACACGTGGCGTGCAACATAGACATCAAATTCTCTTTCAGGGCATTTCTATAACGAAGCTACCAAATGTGAAAAAGTAAAGGTTGGAACAGAAAAAGAAAACACCCAATGTAAACGAAGAATGTAATTTACCTGTAGAAGCAGAGAATAGAATGAGATGTTTGGGAGAGTCGATCAACATATACTTTCAACACCATTTTTTTCTCTCTGCCCATAACTTGAGTTGTTACTTTTATCAAGCTTTGATTTGGATAATTAAAGCCTTGTACTTACAAGTAAACATCGTTTAACAGTGGCATGAAGGAAGCAGAAGTAACCAATGGTGGAGAGGTAGGAAGAAGAAATTGGTTTTTTTCCTATGCCTGTCGATCGGAAAAAGAAAAGAGCAGGGAATTAGGGTTAGTGAGACAAAACAATGATTTAAAAAGGATGTTAGTGATATCCATTTAATGATTTTCCAAATATACAAGATTTATTTTTGGTTTATAAAGGTAAAATGACTAAGCTACACTTACTCTTAAATTTAATGATTAAATCATTACTAAATTCTCATTGGTTTATATATGCATACAATACTTGTAAGAAATATTTGAACCTCTCTCTCTCTCTCTCTCTCTCTCTCTTTCTCTATCTCTCTTTCTCTCTCTCTCTCTATATATATATATATATACACACACACACACACACACACACACACACACACATATATATATATATATATATATATATATATATATATATATATATATATATATATATATATATATATATATATATATATATAAAGAAAGACAAAAATATAAAGGTAATGTTAAAATGATATTTTTAAATGGAATGAGGATGTGCTGTGTAATTTCTTTAAACCACATGGATGGATCTTGTCAAATTTTCAAAGGTTGGACATAAAGTGAGAATCTAACCAAACCACAAGGACTAAAACTATAATCTAATCTTAGGTTTGTTAATTAGAAAAGTTTCTTTTAAAGGTTTTGCCTAGATTTTTGACAATTCAATGATAGTAAGAGAAATTGAGATGACATCATCAATGAGATTTTTCACTTAGGTCATGTGGAATGGATGTCACAAACCGCGAACAACGTCACCATCCATCTCCTTTAACCTTCTTCCATAACAACCTTGGTGTATACATCATTAACCATGATATATTTTGCAGAGAAAAGAAAGAAACGAAGAAAGATTTGATTGGATGTTGTCACATGTGATGGTGATCACAATCCATCAAGATCATAAGCACCACGATGTGTGGGATGGTGTGTATGGTTGTGATGGCCTGTCACCATGGTGACAAACTTATTAGTTGTTTGGTGTACTAGAAGGCCTTAGGAAATTTATTATCCACATGGATATATGTATTATTGACTTGTACGGTAACTACAATGATCATTGCATATTATGTGGACGATCATCAAGAATCACCTCAATCATGAATTTTGCATCCATAATACGGGCGGACCTATGTTTATGCCCGCTACTACCCCGTAAATTTTCCTGAGTAGTATTAAAATTTAACACCCATAGAAATTCTAGATCATAAAACATGAGGAGGTGTACGGTCACGCCTTCGCCTTCCCGCAATCATCTAAAGTACCTAAAACAAAATTCAAAATTGTAAGCCTGAATCTTAGCGAGTTCCCCAAAATACCCATACACACTACAATATACATATAATCACAAACAACATACTATGAGTCCAGTGAACCATTGGGTTGGAATACCCTAGGTCCTCAACTAATGGGTTGGAATGCTAATATCCTATGGTTCTAGTCATCATCGGGATGGAATACCCTAGGACCATAACCATCGGGTTGGAATACCCACATACTATGAGTCCAATTATCCTCGAGATGGAATACTTACGACCCATAACCATCGGGTTGGAATGCCTAGGTCTGTTGGCTCTCGTACAAAGCAGATAAGCCTCAAACACCAACCAAACATGTGCACATATATCAGATAATCACATAACAGTCTATAGAAGAAAAACGATCTAACAGATCATAACAGCATAATAACATCCTATCTACTAGGATACCGATCTAACAGATCATACTAGCATAACATCATCCTATCTAACAGGATACTGATCTACATATCATAACAACATAATACCATCCTATATACCAGGGTACTAATCTAACAGATCATACTAACATAACATATCAGGATAACAATCCAAAGTTGGCCTTGGTGCCTTAGACCCTTGAGTATAGTGAGGAAAAATCTCCTCACAAATATCGAACTGTAGTGATAAGGTCAAACTCTCGAATCACAACAACCAACTCCACCACCTATATTCAACATAGAACCACTTCC